ATTTTATAAATTATATAATTTTATAAAATTGTAGCTGTTTAAGTTCATGTGTAAAAAGTATATTTATATTATAATTGAAGTATATTCATTAAAATACAAACAGATTAAATGATTTAATGAAAATGTAAATTTAACTTCATTATTACACATATTTGTTTACTTTAAGGGTTTTCGACCTGCTACTACTTCTGCTACTGCTGCAGCTACTACTACTACTACTACTACTACTACTACTACAAATACTACAAATACTACTACTACTACAAATACTACCACTACAACTACTACAAATACTACTACTACTACAACTACTACAAATACTACTACTACTACTACTACTACTACTACAAATACTACTACTACTACAAATACTACTACTACTAGAAATACTACAACTACTACAAATACTACTCCCACATAGCAAAAAATATCCGCAGAACGGATCCGCATCGGAGTCACTTGCACATCGCCGCGGATCAGCAACGGATCCGCCGCGTGGATACGCAGCGGATCAGCCGCGCCTCCGCCGCGGATCCGGGCTTATTTTGACGGATCCGCGGCGGAGGCGCGGCTGATCCGCTGCGTATCTCGCGGATCCGCCCAGGACCCGTTTTGGATCCGCTTTCAGAACCGGGTTATCTGCCGCGGATCTGCCGCGGATCTGCCGCGGATCTGCCGGCGGATCTGCCGCGGATCTGTTTATTGTGTCGTTAGGAGCCTAAATATGGTTCAGATTTAATACTGATCCACTTCCTACTGACCTAAATACACACCAGCAGCATTTGCATTGTAATTGTACATAAAACTTTTACAGCAAGTATTAAAACTAGGATATAAAGGCTTAAATTTAAAAACATAAACTTAAACAATTTCAAAGTTGGATCAGTGATATCCTATCACTAAATCTCATTAGTTAAGAAAAAAAGAAACTTTTTTTTTTTTTTTACATTGTAAACAATATTTATTTAAATCATTAATTAGAAATCTTAGGACATGAATAATTATTATTAATGTTATAGGACTTATATACCCTTTGAGTTAACCAATGCTTCATTCTTAATATGAAAATGACAATTTACAGTTTTTACTAAAAATACTTCAAGTTAAGCAAAGTTTTTGTTTTTTTTTAAATGGCAAAAAACAAATATAAGCTATATGAGTAAAAGCCTGGACAGATGAGACAGAGTGTAGCCAAACCATACTGTTTAAACTCAAACTTAACTTGTGTTTACCACCACAGAACAATTAGACGGGTGGTTGTTCTTATAGAGTGTGAAGTGTGGGAGCTTCAGAGCCTCTGTCTTTAGCTTCAGTCTGAGGCAGAGGTTTTGAGGCAGAGGTTTTGAGGCAGAGGTGTAGTGAGTCTGGCTCCTTTTCAGTCCTACTGGTGAAGATCCAGTCTGTCAGTGTCCAGCTCTGGGCTTCCCCTTTCTCACAGCATCTGAAATGACACCAGTTTGTATTAAACACCCCATTACACCTCTTATTCTTGTAAGGAGTTAGAGTTCAGGTTTGTGAAGAACATTGTAAGTCATGACAGTGGCTGTGTGATTTGAACATGAAAGGTAAACACTTGATTGGAGAAATCTATGCACTTACAGAGGGTCAGTCTGTAAACTCCACCACAGCAGGTTCTGAAAGAAACAATCTGCACAACAACAGGTGTGATTATAATGTGCATATGTTTAGTTATGAAAGTTAATAAAAGTAGGATAATACAGTAAACTTACACAGGGTCTGTCTCTACATTTTTGGAACTTGGCCCAGCAGAGGGAATTCTGTAAAACATCAAATAAGAGAAACACAAATATCAGTTTGGATCATTTCAGGCCCCAGTGTTTAATCCAAGTGCAGTATTTACCTCCAGAGGGTCTTTATCATGCTGTTATGTCCATCTTCTTATTAACCATAGTATATTCTGAAACAGAGATGAAAAACATTATTTAACTCATAGGAAATACTTTAGCGCAGTAAAACTGAACTCTTTTGTTTTAGTTTGAGCCTGAGTATGAACATGAGACGTATTTCACTGCTGTTAATACACAATACTCTACTACATTTACTTTTACCACAACATTTAAAATATAATAATCAATTTATGATGGTGTTCATAGTCAATATCAGTGTAATATAGATGTGACACATTAGTGTTCATGTCAGCATCTCACTGAAAGTCTGAAGCACCGTCTCAAGTCCCATAACAGAAAGTTAGAGACAAAGTCAGATCTGACTCCAAACTAAATCTTCACTGTCACAGAAATCATTAAAAGTACTTACTTCTGATCAGCGTGTCGGCCTCCTGATGGAGACACTCAGCAGAAGGACAGGGTCCTGATGTCATCTGGGGAAAAACAACATAAGTTTTGGTTGGTTATCTAACGTTAGCTGTTGTTAAAAGTTGTGCTTTTTATTAGGCAAGGCAAGGCAAGTTTATTTGTACAGCACAATTCGTACACAAAGTAATTCAAAGTGCTTTACAGAATAAGAAATACATTAAAATCATAATAAAAACAAATCAAAACATAAATAATCATGAAGATTAAAATTAAAAAAGAGAGACATAAATTGGAGAGAAGAGTGCGGAATGAAAACCTTTCAGTTTTATGCACAGTTAAACAGAAATGTTTTGAGTCTGGATTCAAACAGCGTCACAGAAGAGTCTGTCTCACATGTTCAGACTGTTCCAGGTTTTAGCTGCATGAACCTGAAACTCTGACTCCCCTTGTTTAGTCGTGACTCTGGGCACCAGCAGGAGGCCGGTCCCTGAGCTCCTCAGAGTGTGAGATGTTCATATGACACTAACATGTCACAGATGGACTTTGGTGCTCGGCCATGGAGACACTTGTACAAACAGAGCTGCTTTAAAGTCTCTGAGCCACAGGAGCCAGAGCAGAGACCTGAGCACAGGACTTATGTGCTCGTACTTCCTAGTTCGAGTAAGGACCCGAGCTGCAGCGTTCTGAATGTTCTGGATGTTCTGGATGTTCTAGATGTTCTGGATGTTGTGAATGTTCTGGATGTTCTGGATGTTCTGGATGTTGTGGATGTTCTGGATGTTCTGCAGCGTCTCACAGCTCGTTTGGAGAGACCAGTGAGCAGAACATTACAGTATCTAATCTACTGGAGACAAACGCATGGATAAGTTTCTCCAAGTCTGATTTAGACAGTAAACCTTTGATTTTCGCTATGTTTTTTAGATGGTAAAAGGCTGCAGATGTTATTGACTTGATGTGGCTGTTAAAGTTCAAGTCTGAGTCCATTATTACCCCGAGATTTCTTGCCTGATTTGAAGGTTTTAGAGAGAGAGACTGGAGGTGACTGCTGACACTGTCCCTTTGTTTTTGTGGACCAAACACTATGACTTCAGTCTTGTCAGAGTTTAGCTGGAGAAAGTTGTTTTGCATCCACACACTGATCTGTTGGATGCAGTGACCAAGTGACTCCACTGGTCCATAGTCTCCTGCTGCCAGAGAGACGTAGATCTGAGTGTCGTCTGCATAATTGTGGTACGACACGTTATTGCTGCTTATTAACTGGCCTGTAGGGGGCAGCATGTAGAGATTGAACAACAGGGGGCCCAGGATTGACCCCTGAGGCACCCCACAGGTCAGGGCCATGTCATCTGAGACACAGTTTCCAATTTCAACAAAATACTTCCTGTCTTCTAGGTAGGACTTGAACCAGTTCAGTACAGTACCAGAGATGCCCACCCAGTCCTCTAGTCTCTGTAAGAGGATCCCATGATTGACAGTGTCAAAAGCAGCACTCAGATCTAACAGGATCAAGACTGAGACTTTGCCTGCATCAGTGTTCAGGCAGATGTCATTTGTCACCTTGATAAGAGCAGTCTCAGTGCTGTGGTGGGCTCTAAAACCTGACTGGAAAACATCAAAGGAGTTGTTCATTTGGAGAAAGTTCGTAAGCTGTTGGTAAACAGCTTTTTCAAGGACTTTGCCAAAAAACGGCAGATTTGAGATGGGTTGGAAATTGTTCAGTACTGTGGCATCAAGACTGCTCTTCTTTAGGAGAGGCTTAATGACCGCAGTTTTCAATGCGTTTGGGAATGTTCCAGATTGAAGTGACATGTTAACTATGTGAGTGAGTGGTGAAAGTAAACTGTTGAGGACGGACTTTAGAAATCTAGTGGGTAACATATCCAGGCAGCAAGCAGATGAACTCAGACTGGTAACGATCTCTAAAACAGTTTTGTCAGTTACAGGTGCAAAGTGATTCAGCTCTAAGTGTCTCTGTGGCTGCATGCTTGTTATTTTTGTTGTGGAATTGATGGCATTTTTGATGCCCTGAACTTTGTCATTAAAGAAAACTGCAAACTCATTACATTTAGATCTGGAAATCAGTTCTAGTGGCAGTGGAGCTGGAGGGTTTGTTAATCTGTTCACTGTTGCAAACAGGACACGAGAGTTGTTACTGCAATTACCAATAATGTCCGAAAAATACTTCTCTCTTGTGTTACTCAAAGTGTATTTGTACATATGCATTGTTCCTCTGTAAATCTCATAATGAACCTGGAGGTTTGACTTGCGCCATTTCCGCTCAGCCTTCCGGCACTCCCTTTTCTGTGCTCTGACTGAGTCATCATTCCTCCACGGAGCTTTTTGCCTCTTTAACCATTTTAACCTTTATCGGAGCGATGGCATCCAGAACATTCAAAACACTCAAAGTCACAGAGTTTAACACATCATCAACATTAGAACATGAGGCAATTTCAAAATGTATCATTTCCATGAACAGTGCACCTGTGTTATCATTTATGTGTCTTCTTCGAACAACTGTAGGAGCAGCCGGTGGTTTGGGAATAACAGACAGGTCAAAGAAGACACAGAAATGATCAGACAGAGCAACATCAACCACATTGACATTTGAAATATTTACACCCTTTGTAATGAGCAGGTCCAGAGTGTGTCCTCTGTTGTGAGTGGGCTCACTGACATGCTGAGTCAGACCAAAAGTTTCAAGGACAACACTAAGCTCTTTGGCATTTTTGTCCCACACATTATCCACATGTACATTAAAATCACCTGTAATGACTAAACCATCAAAGTCTGTGCAAACAACTGAAAGCATCTCAGTAAAATCATCAATAAAACTTTGACAGTGCTGAGGAGGTTTGTATATGACGATGTAGAGTCTGGACGGTGATTGTTTTAGCTCCATTTTGAAGGAAACAAACTCAAATGATGAAAACACCCCAAATGACAACCTGTGTGTAACCAAATGATCTCTAAAAAATGCACACACTCCTCCACCCTTTTTATTTGCTCGTGTTTCAGATTAAAATTTGAAGTTGGGAGGGGTTGATTCCACTAGCACTGCACGACCTGTGTTTTTGTCAAGCCATGTTTCAGTTAAAAACATAAAGTCAAGATTAAAAGAAGAAATAAAATCATGAATTAGAAATGATTTGTTACATAAAGATCTGACATTGAGCACAGCAAGTTTCTGATTAGTTTCAGTAGGACTGGATGTTATCTTCTTACAGGGAACGTGAACTAAATTTCTCTGATTAGACAGTCTAACTGTCCTTCTTTTAATCCGTCTACGTGTTGTAACTGGAGATACAGCTCCATCGCAGGGCCCCAGCCTGATATTACCTTTATCATGACTGTATGTCCTGGGACAGCAGAGGCCCTGTGCGTCCAGCTCTTGGTGATAACAGCTCTGGGGAAAGGCGGGGGAGGGCGAGCAGGGGAGAGTTTGGGTGAGTGACCAGGTGAGGGACCAGGTGAGGGCCGAGGAGGTGGCCGAGGAGGTGGAATACGGGGAGGTTTGGGTGAGGGACCAGGTAAGGACCGAGGAGGTGGAGTAGGGGGAGGTTTGGGTGAGGGGAGAGCTGAGAGAGTCTCTGGTGGTGAAACAGGCACAGTTTTGTATGGGGGAGAGTTCAACATAACCCTTGACCGTGCTATGTTAGGTGTGAGAGGAACCATCTTGATTCCCGATCTGATGAGGCTTTCTAGATGGTTGGGCAGTGCCATGGGTGAAGGTGGGGAGGAGAAGGAGAGTGAAGAGTCAGTTGATGGAGTAGATGTAGCAATGGGGACTCCAGGCTGGTCTGTGGGCAGTGGAGGTGATGGGTGTGCTGGAGGCGCTGGGGAAGGTGGTGGTGGTGTTGCTGACTCATTCTCTGGGGGAGGTGGTGCTGCTGACTTATTCTCTGGGAGAGGGGACGGTGGTGATGCTGACTTGTTCTCTGGGGGAGGGGGAGGTGGTTCTGTCTCTGGGGAAGGGGGAGGTGGTTTGCTGACTTGTTCTCTGGGGAGCGGGAGGTGGTGATGCTGACTTGTTCTCTGGGGGAGGGGGAGGTGGTTCTGCTGACTTGTTCTCTGGGGGAGGGGGAGGTGGTTCTGACTTGTTCTCTGGGGGAGGGAGGTGATGATGCTGCTGAGTTGTTGTCTGGGGGAGGGGGAAGTGGTTGTGGTTGTGGCAGCGGTGGTGCTGTCAATGGTGCTGACTTGTTGGCTGGTTCTCTGTTTAGGTGCAGTAGGGATGCTTCTCCCATTTCTCTTTTCTCTCACTGGATGCACAGGACCCTGTCCAGGCCGGTGCCTCAGAGCGTGGAGGAGGTTTTCCGTCAACACTTCTCACTCCACCTCTGCTTAGGTGTGGGCCATTTCCCTCAAACAGGTCCTTCCGTTTCCAAAAAAGATCAAAGTTCTCAATGTAGTGCAATCCTCTGGCCGCGCACACGTTCAGCAGCCACGTGTTCAGCTGAAACAGTCGGGTAAATTTGTTCCTGTTCCTTAGGTCAATGTTGGGAAGAGGTCCACTGATAAATGTCTTAACCTCCTCTTTATTAAGCTCCTCGAATAATTAAGTGAAATCCCTTTTCAAGACTTCACTCTGTTCCATTCTGATGTCCACTGCACCCACATGCCAATCAGCTGTTTAACCCCTTGGTGTGTTGACAAAACTTTTGGCAGGAGTTTTGTTATCTCAGAAACAGTGTAGGTCGGGTAGCAGCATGTTAGGATTCTTCTGTGACTCACACCACTGATGCCCCGTCTCCTAGCAGCAACGTATCTCTGACCTTGACGTTTGGCACAGATTCCTGGTCTGCCTGCACTCTTTTGGCAACTTTATTGTTCTTGTTTTGTGATGACAGTACATTATCCGTTTGTACGTTAACATCAGTCTGTGACAGTGGTGAAAATCTGTTTGTTAGCTTTATTGTGGGTGATATAACGATATTAGCATTGTCTTTTACCACTCGCTGTGCTGGCTTAGCATTTTGGTCTGTACCAAGTTTTGGAAAAGACACAGTATCACTCAGGTTTAAGTTGAAATAATTTTCACCCTCTTCTCTGGAAGTAACTGTAGGTTGCTCACCACTGGAAGTCACTGGTAGCGTCTGATGAAGTCCTTTTTCAGTTTCTAAAGCAAATATCCGTGCTTGTAGCTCATAAATTTCTTGTTGATAGTTCCGACAGCGCTCACAGATAGAATTCCCTTGGTTTCTTCTCCCCGACATGTTGCTGGCTCATCAGATGATTTGTTAAAAAATGTAAAAATGTTTAAAAGTATTAATTTGCTTAAAAGGAAATCAAAAATAGACACATTATCAAAAATAGGCACATTATCCGTTGTTGGAGGAGGTAAACTGATTAAAAAGCGAAAACAGCAGGAGCAAGCAAGGATAGCGTCCACACTCTTCAGAAGCAGGAAGTTTAGTTTTTAGTTTAGTTTATTACGTTACGTTATTGTATTATGGCACGTTGCGTTAAATTATTGTATTAAGGTACTGACATGATGCACTTTAGTCTCAACTCAACAGTCAACACTCTAGTCTACACAAATAATAATTATCTCTGGTTAAAAACACAACCAGATCAGACACCAGTGTCACCGTCGCTCCACAGCCAAAGGGAGAGCGCCGAGAGCGGCGTCCAGCCAGAACCGAGCCCGTTAGACACGACCAATGATCACGGAGCAGAATTACAATTCTGTGATCGTAAAAATATACAAGAATATAAGTACCGTTATATAAAAATAGTATTTAGACTGGGATCTACCGCAAGAGACGGAGTTATCCTGACTCCTGACCTCACATCGTCTTCATCACGTTAGCTGCTACTGTCGCTAACTTTCCTACTGCACTTGTCAAAACTGATAAAACACAGTCACAGATGTACAGACACCACAATATAACGTTAACGTTATGTACATTAATGATGACTAATACAATTAACTTTTAAACTATTACTTACAGTGAAATCCACGGACAACAGGTGGATGTTGTTTCTTTCTCTCAGGTTCTGATAACGGCTGAGTCAGTGGCGCGTCCGCGCAGCGAATCCGAACCGGGTTAGCCGCGGATCGGCGCATTGATAGTACAAATCATTGTGTCAAAAACAAAGTGTTGTGTTAAAAGTGCGTTCACAGTGCGGATCTAAGATGATTTAACCGCAGATTCTCTCTGTAACAGCAGGCCATCCAAGGGTTAGGGTTAGCAACAGTCAGAATGCGAATACGGAACAAATACGCAGCGGATCCGCAAAGCGGACGGACTGTAGGGATACTACTACTACTACAAATACTACTACTACAAATACTACTACTACTACTACAAATACTCCTACTACTACAAATACTACTATTACTACAAATACTACTACTACTACTACTACCACCAACTGAACAATTTCAATAAAAATATTGACGCTGAGTTGAACCTTGTGTCTGTTTTCCTGTTTTTTTCCTTAATTAAAGACTAGACAATTAGTTGTTAACCCGTGTAATAACAATAAAATAAACTGCTCCTTTAATATTTTTAACCATATAATCTCTGATGAATATCTTTATCCAATTACTTTATTCCCTTTAAACCCTTTTTTAAGTTTTTGTAAATCATGAAATGAAATTCATTTAATTATTTATATAACCAAACAGATAATAGCTCTTTTAAACTTCTTCGCTGAATCAGTAAACCTGAGCTGGTTTAGCATTAAATTACATTCTTTTGCATAAAGCATCAAAATGTGCTTTTAGCATCAAATTAATATCACATTCCACCATAAAACAGTTCAAAATGAAATAAAAGTGCAGTGACCTTTGTTGTCAACTTAAATCTTTCTTTAGAATCCCATAAAACAAGTACAAATAGTTTGTACATTGACTTTCAGCAGGAGTTTAACACTCGCGATTAGCATTAGCATTAGCATTAGCATTAGCATGGCGTTAGCATGTTTTTCACCGTGGTCCATTAGCATAGGGTGACCAAACATCCGTTTTTCCTGGGACATGTCTGTATTTTGCGCCCTGTCCGGGTCGTCCGGGGTATTTTTTTTTTATAAAGTGATGCAAATGTCCGGGTTTTCAGGACCGTTCATTAAACTGAGCGTCTGTCGTAGCGTCTGTGACTCAGAAGGAGCGAGACACAAACAGTCGGTCAGTCTGAAACATACCGAGTTGTCAACTTTATATTTCACAATTATTATATCTGTGTTAAGGCTGTAAAACCTCAGCACAAACTTTATACACTTTTCTCAGACAGGATCGACAGGTGCAACCCTTTTTACTTCCTTCTTAAAACTTATTGTTGCTGTCGTCCTTTTGTTATTCTGTAATGAACTGAAGATTAATTTATTCCGTAATGGAGCCAACAGCGCAGAGTCCTGCACGGGTCCATTTTTGGAGACCTGCAGTACAACACCGCACCTGCACAGGACAGGACCGCACCTGCCCGTTAACCAGAGATTATATCAAAAGTTTGTGCTGCCTACACCACGGACTGAACCAAGACTAAACCAGGACTAAACCAGGACTGATTCCAGGACTGAAGAGGAGGACTAATCCACGACTGAACTAGGACTAAAACAGGACTAAACCAGAACTGAACCAGGACTCACCATCAGGTCGGGCTCGGAGGTGACGCAGGAGAAAGGACCGGCTCAGCTCCGCACCTCACGAAGGTAAACGCGGCAATCGCCCGATCGCAGTTTGCGGACAAACTGCTCGGCGTTTTCTCTCTTAAGTCCAAGATTAGTCCTGGTTTAGACCTGGTTTAGTCCTGACTCACCCGTGTGTAATTACTACCCTCCTGTAATACACAATACACATTCATACGCTGTAAAAAAATAAATAAATAAATAAAAATCCTCCCCCCTCCCAGGTGTCCGGGTTTTCACAAACAGAAATATAGTCACCCTACATTAGTAAACACGAGTAAACTCACCAAGACGATGTTTTAGTGTGAACACGGGACAAACACCGTCACGGCTCCTCAGGTTCACACTTGGAATCAACTTAAAACAGAATATAAAACATTCCCAGTGAGCATGAACATACTGTACCATATTTACATTGAATTACATGAACATGCACTCACCGAGACGTAGTGACGTCGAGATGAAGCCCCATGAAGCACTGAAGTGTTCCATCCATTTGCTCGACTCTTGAGCCGATGCTTCGAGGTGCTTCAGTTGCTCCACTGCGACATCAAGAGGCCAAAAAATGTAGAACAGGCAGAGTGAAAATAAAACAATCAACATGATCATCGAGGTTCTGATGGAAAGATTTTTTTCTTTTTTCCTACAATATGGGGGTGGTACATATGATCCATACATCATACAGGAGAGCAGAAGGAATGAAAACAAAACTAAACAACAACAACAAAAAAATAATAAAATAATGTCATAAATTAAATAAAGCTATACTATACTTCTTACAGATATTGTAAGTTTTAACAGCTTTTTTTGTTTTGGACCTGTTTTATTGTTTGAAAATATTGTTGGATTTCAATATTATACTGATGAATATTTGGTTTATTTTGAGGCCATTTGGTTTTGTGTATGTGATACGTTGCCAGCGTGATGAGAGTCTGAATGAGGAATCCGAGATCTTTGGGGATGGAGGGGCTGGTGAAGTAGAACAGGACGTCTCTTTCCTGGAGGCCGATCGGGTGTTTGGTTTTGGTTTGGATGAGTTGTTGTATTTGATTCCAGATGTTCTTGCTGTATGTGCAGTGGTAAAACAGGTGAGTGATTGTTTCTATTTCGCTGCGACAGAAGTCACAGTTGTAATCAATCTTTAATTTGAATCTTTCTAAAGTTTTTTTGGCTGGGTAAATATTATGGAGAATTTTGAAATTGACTTCTTTAATTTTGTTATAAATGCAGATCCTCTCGCCAACCAGCCACGCCCTGCTCCAGTCAATCTCCCCGTGCAATGAGTTCCAATATGAAGTTGCTGCGGGTCTGTTTGGAGGTTGAATAATATTTCTAATGTATTTATTGATGGAAAGATTTATACTGAACAAATGAATTATTAAATATTTGAAAGTTTGTGATTTCAACATAAACTGTGAATTTATGAACCTGGAGTCCGTGTTCATGATATAACGGTCGGGTTAAAAGAAAAAGTCGACACAATGTTTAGTAATATTGTTTATTTAATGACGTCATTATTACTATAAACTTTATTAGGAGATATCAGCTCAAAATGTTCCCAAACAGGGGAAAGTTTTTTTTTCTTGTGGCTCCGTCGCAAAAAAAATAATAATCTCAAATAGAATGTACCAAACTCACAATAACCCAAAACCACAAAATGTTTTGCGGGAATCCGTTGAGTTTCTTTGGTCCTTATATTTCGAATCGTGCGCCAAATCCGCGAAGCACTTCCTGAAGCAGTCACATGGTTCAGGCGGTTCACGAGGCTTCGAACGTCACCACATACGTCACCGATACAAACCTCGATACGCTTCACCAAAGACTTCCTGGATTACTCGGCAGTGTGTAGTGTGTAGTGTTGATCAGAGTTCTGGTCTGTTGATTAGGCGGAGAGAGATCAGTCTGAAGAGAAACAATCTCAAACACTTGAATTTTCTTAATATTGACTTGATTTCTAAATGTCAATTGTAGAAAATAAATTCTGTCCTCTGCCCTTTTCCCTTTTCATTCACAAACTTTTAAACACAGCTAATCTCAGCAAACCATTGTAATTAGACAGATGTTCACTCATATTCACCAGCACACAGTGTGCACGTGTGCTCTAGTACCATTTCAAATACATGTCATGTGGTGACATCCACAAAAAAAATAAAAATAAAAATAAATAAATACATGCAGGTTTTACACAAATGTGAGATTTTGTCATGTTTGACATCCACTGTGGGATTTAAGTAAACTTTTAATTCACTCAAGTGCCGTTCTTTTACAGTGAAAACTCCCTTTGATACGACGATACCTGAATATTTAAAATGCCAACTTTATTTTTTGTATAATTACGTTTTTGATTTTGACAACAACTTTCTAATAATAGTACTACTGTATCTCGTACTACTACTACTTTTTTCTACTTAATTTATGAATTAACTATCAAAATGATACGACTCATAGTGGCCACATATTTTTATTTTAATCTGTGAAAAGAAAGAAAATTTTATATGAATTCTTATATTAAAAGAAATAACCTGCATTACAGGTGTCTGTCATCTACATCAAGTGTTTTACATATATATTTATATACATATATATTTATATTTTTTATCTTTTCTTTAAAGTGTCTTTATTTGGATCATGAAGACTGTTGAGTTTGTAAATATTTTAAATTGTGTAATAGAGGCAAATGGACATATAACAAAATAACAGATTTATTACATTCTTCACCAAAACAATCTTTTCAGATGTTGTTTATTAGAGTTTGTTTGTTTGTTTTTTATTTAGATCCCCATTAGCTACTGAAAAACAGCAGCTATTGAGTCTTGGTTCCATCCTTCAGTCTTACGTATCAGTGGTCAGATAAAGAGCAGAGGCACAGGGATCTTGGGTCAAACCATTTATTAGATCAGATTACACTTTTTTTATCATTCATTAATTGTAACAGTTTTGACTTTTTCACAAGAAAACTACCCAAGAAAATCACATGTATTTGAATTACATTTGTTACATTTGAAAAGAATCAGGTCCAAAGTGTTGACTTAAAGAGAAAACAGGACAGTGGTGATGAGTTTGACAAAGATCATCTGGACATTTGAAGCTCCTTTTACTCTGTGACAACAGTTGCTCCACTTGGTTTCTTAAATTCGGCTCAGGCATCTATTCCGGATGCCTCCTGCGCGTCTCCCTCAGGAGGTGTTCTGGGCCCGTCCCACTGGGAGGAGGCCCCGGGGAAGACCCAGGACAGGGGACAGAGGGACTATGGCTCTGGGCTGGTCTGCACAGCTCGGGGCCCCTGTAGGAGCTGGAGGAAGTGTCTGGGGTGGAAGAAGTCCGTGAACCCCCGTATGAAAGGGAGGACGTCGATGGATGGGCATGAAAGAGAACGGGACCCCATCTTTGTAGGCGTTAATAGCATAACCAGTGAGGGACGTGTCGCTTTTCGCTGTGACACACAGATGTACTTCGTCTTTGTTTTGTTGAAAATATACAGCTTCCTTCCACATTTTGACCACCACCTCATCTTTCTTGAACCATGGATGTTCTGGCTGTAATTGTGGTGGCTCATAAGTCTCCCCCGACTTCAGAGCATTCAGGTACTGACCCATCTCCTCCAGCTGAGGATCTGCGTTCCCCAGAGAGGTGAAGGCATAGACACAGCGGACTTCATCTCCTGGAGCCAACACAAACTTATAAACCTCAGCCTGAGTGGGCAACACTGGGAATCCCTCCATGATGTCTAAAAAGAACTGAACCATACTGATCTCCATCTCCTTGTCCTCCAGCCACTTGGTGAGTCTGTCCTGGCTGAACGGGGACATGAGTCTCTGGTCAAAGAGACTTCTGAGGACGCTCTCTTCCACTGTCCCCTCTCGAATGGCAGGACATGTCTCTGCCATCTGCCCCTGCAGCTCTACACTGTAATGGCGACACAGTTTGGAGAACTTGTGCACCTGCTGCTGAAGCTCAGGGAACTTCCCCACTGCACTGACAGACAAACATTCATTACACCTCATGGTAATGTTTTCCAGATCCTTCAGAGTCTCCTCGGCCTCCAGCACTAAACCTACACTGATGCCTTTAGTCACTGGAACAGGCTCATATTTAAAGACCTCCAGTGGAAGCAGCCAGACCTTCACAGGAACAGTGTTCACTGGTTCTTTGCCGTCTGCTCCCATCAGCAGCTTGGGCAGAGTCACATAGGTCTGAACAGCTGCATCAAATGTTGCAGGATTGCTCTCAAGAAGAAAATCTCCATAAAACTGAACAGACAATGTTTTAACTAGGTTTTTTTCTTCTTCAGTGAGTTCTACCTTTGCCTCTCCGTGAATTTCACACTGAGGAATCTTTTTGATAGTTACCTCCAACTGTCCTTTGACAGTCTGGAGGTCACTAGAGTCTACCTTCTGACTGTCGAACACAAAGAAAGCGTTGGCTCCGTACTCTATCCCTGTGACCACATGTGTGCCCAGGCCCTTCTCATGACTCACACTGTTCTGTATTTTCTCACACACATCTGCTGTGAGGGACAACTGCTCAAAACGAGTGGTGGCCTGGTATTGCAGGGTCACTCTGCTCTGGTTTTTAAATTGTTTTTTGTTGTTCAGGTAGCCACTGACCCCCCCACTTCAATCAGGCCACTCAGAAAGCTGAGCTTCAGAGACGCGTTCACATTCAGGTTAAAGGACGTGTCTGCAGTGGAGTCTGACGATCTGACGTCAAAGTGACTGCTCCTCTGGGGCTTCTTCACCGTCAGACTTTCTAAAGTTTGTGAGTCCCAAAGGGCCATTCCTAAAACAAACAAACACTGGTCATTTACAGCACATTCTCTGCACACAGCTGACTGTACACATTTATACTTGTATACTAGTGTACTAGTACTTCTTCTTCATCATTCTCTTGATGAAGTAAAAACACCAGCAGGTTTTAGTTGACTCTGTTCATAAACTGTATAAAGTGAACTGAGGGAGTGTGACGTCACTCAGAGTGTTCAGCTCCTAGTTGGAGCAGTTGTAGAAGTGAATTTGGAGCAGAGTTTTGTATTTGGAATTTCAACCACAAATGTCACAGGAACCAAAGAACCAATCACTCTCAAGCCTGTTTAAGGTAACGCCCCGTCTGCTTCACTGAGCGACTGTCAACAGACGCTGTAAAGAAATGGACTGAGGGAGTGTGACGTATGTACGTAAAACATTAACACCAGGATCATGTAGACTGGGTTAATACAAACATTTTAACAACATGACGAGGCTCACAGCAGCAGTTATAGAGAGAGGAGCCACAATATTCCAAAGTCAATGGGAGCCAGAGTCAGAAGGAGCCGGAAGTTCCTCCACGAGCTCTTCCTATTTGAAACACCGCGGTTAGCAGGTAAAGTATACCCAAGTATTTATACAGTCTATGCTCTGCTTTCATTTGGAACGCAGCAGATTTAAAAGGTTTTCATTTATTTTTTTGTTTATTCATTACAGTTACATCACCAGATTCATGGCCCTTAAAGAAGATAAAGCTCACTGTGCTCCTGCTACCATCATCTCAAATTAGAAACACATTACATTGTCTTTTTCAGTTACAATTTTGGTTCAAAGATGCATCTGCAGCTTCTGTTGAGAAAAATGCAAAGTGCTTCATAAAGTGTAACAGAAACAGTAACTGACCTGGGATGAGTTGGTCCTTTGGGGCGTTATACAACATGCCCAGAGTGAACGGTCGGCCCAGACCTCCAACAATCATCTGATTGTTTTTAGCCTTTTGCTCCAACTGTGGAAAAACACAACCAAGACATGAGACATGTTTGACAAATAAAAGCTGGACAAAATGGAGAAAAAAACACTGAATTTTCAATGTATGAAACATAATTAAAACAAATAAGTGTAGCTTTTATCATTATGATTTATGAACACAGACAAGAAAGGCCTTTTTAAAATGAAGTCCACAATTTAATACAGTAGATATAAAAGAATGAGAACTTCACACATCAGTTACTTGAGACGGTGCGTTGGAGGAGAGGGAGCAGCCCATGAACATGGAGAAAAATCCCGCACACCGTCTTACTTGCAAATTGTGAGATTTATTAGGACAAACTGTGCAATGTTTCGGCACTAGGCCTTCATCAGGCAAACACAAATCCATAAAAGTCTAAACCAGGTGCTGTTACTGCCCAAAAATCATCTGTACTTAAAATAAAAAGGCCCCTGTCGATAATGAGACTGACCTGATGAGTTTTCATGAATTATACAGCCCTAGTAAAAAATGGAGCTGCTCAGTGCTCACCTGTGCCATTGTCGTCCTCTGAAGTCTTCTGGGGTACTCTGAACGACAGGTGCTCTGAACGACAGGTGCTCTGAACGGCAGGTGCTCTGAAGGCAGGCAGGTCTGAACTCTGAACGGCAGCTCTGAAGGGCAGGTGCTCTGAACGGCAGGCGCTCTGAAGGCAGGTGCTCTGAAGGGCTGCTTGAGGAAGAGGCTCTGAGGAAGCAGGTCTGACAGGCTGAAGCAGACAGGCTGTTGTCTTTTATAGGGGTGTTGGTTGTTGGAGGAAGTACAAATCATGACTTTATAAGGACATTTTCTTTGACTCAGACAAACTTCGTTGATTGAAAAGGAGAATTATTTGGACACAGTAGTTCACAGCATTTTATATAAACAAAGAGAAACATATAAATCAGGGGTGTCAAACTTATTTTGGTCCGGGGGCCGTATCCAACCTACTTTAATCCCAAAGGGGCCGGATCAGAAAACTCATGGCATATAAACCCCAACAATAACAATAAATTCAAATATTTGTGCAGAGAAATGCAAATTTATTACAGAAATCTTTTTTAATTGATGAACTCTTTCTTATTATAATATTATAATATTATGAACAACCTGAAACTTTAAGAAAAATTCAATTTCAACACAATGTTTTAACATGAACTTGTATGTAAATAAGAATAAATCCATTTATCTTGTAAAATCCTGCACTCGGCTCCACTTTTCTCATGTTGGACATTTTTCTGATGAGGGTGTCACGGTCAACAGTCAAAACGATCGTCCTTTAAGAGCGTTTGGAAAGAGACAAGTCTTCATTTGTGCTGCTCTGGTGGGAGGGGCCACGTACAGAGACGCTGGAGACGCTGCTGTGATAAACACCACAGAAAATTAAACAATATTTTAATAGAAAATATAATTAAAATATTTTAGTAGAAAATCACCCAAGGGCCACATTAAAGATCTTGGAGGGCCGGATCTGGCCCCCGGGCCTTATGTTTGACACCTGTGATATAAATGATCAAATAAATTATAAATAAGTAGCAGAAATGGCAAGAGACTGATGTGAAATAAGGCAGAAGTATATAAATGTATATGTACAAGCCAAATTAAAATATAGAAATATAGTCATTAAAATATATCTCAGTTATACAGAAGAGGTCGAAAGGAAAACGGTGCAAAGATGATATGATGATTGGCAGGACACAGGTGTTATATAAGGAAGAGTTGTTGTACATTTGTACGGTGTATAATCTACAGATTATTTAAACATTTCCACAGAAATCAGTGAGTCACGTCAGACACTGTTTCAGGGTCTGAGCGACCAACAAAAACGGGAAGCAGCACAATGACACACCCTGGTGTTTAAAACATATATATCATCATCATAATATATAATATATATATATCATATAATATATAATCATAATATAATATATCACCATAATATCTCACAATAAAGAATCACCCATCAGCAGCAGCAGTGTCTCATCCCTGATAACCAGAACTTTTTTCAGTTTTGAAGCATTTCTCTGCTGAAATTTTATGTTTGTGAAACAGCTCAAACAAAATAAGGTCTGCAAAATTCACTTTTTCATTTAAAACTGATCATCACTCAGTCGTCCTCCAGTGTCACAGTGAAGTGTCATGCTACTTCCTATTTTCACACTTTACATGAAAATAGGAATGTTAGTAAACAGTGTGTGAGACACACACTTTCGATTTCATGACATTTGCGACATAGCTCAACGCCTCAACTGGTCTTTTGTCTGTCTGGTGGTATGAAACGCCTTAGCAAAAGCTTAAACATAGTTCTCATGAACAACAATTCTACAATTGTAAAAAAGCCTTTTGGTGAATGTAACACGGTGGTCGGTGGTTAATGTTATTTCCAGTTGCGGTGTGTCCGTGAACGCAGCGCTTTGTGTGGCGCTCCTGGCTTCACTCATTAGAAACTAGAAAAAGGTGCACACCTTTGTGTTTTTGTCGGGGTTTCTGCAGGTAGTAGCAGGCGGCGTGTTGTGCGGCGTTGGCAGTGGTAACAGCAGCCGCCCTGTGTCCCAAGCCCCATGCTGGGCGCTGGGTCCTTTGAAAAATGGAATCATATCATATTCAGAAACAAAAGTACGACTCCTGTAATGAGCTGAAAAGGGACGCACATTGTCCCGTAATACTGTGAGAATCAAATATAGTCAGTGGTGCTTTATAAGAAAATGTAGAGTAAACGTGTTCTCAGCCTCTCCTGCTCTGTGACCATTGAGCTGCACTCACATCCTGCTCGTGAGCTCACTGGTCGATGTTTCTTGTGCTGTGAAGAAAACACCAAAGCAACATGAACGACAGTGATGCTGACAGTCAGTGTTGTGCTTGAACGAGTTCAAAAGAACATGTTCATTTTTCAGTGAACTTTG